CTGTTACATTTCAAATCCAATGTGCTCGAGTTGTGAGTGAGTCAACAAAACAATAATACGTCACTGTCGCTCCAGTTCGTGTTCGTATGACTCACGTTACTTCATCACAAACAAACATAAGAAGCAAGAGAGAACATGTATGTGAGGGAGACAATAAGCGATCATCTTACCTGCCAGCGGAGATATCTGTAGTCCATGTGACCCACAAACAGAGACTTGGTGGTGAAAGCATACGGCTGGACGTCGACATCTGCTCGGGTCACCTGACAAGAAAGACCATTTACAGATTACACCATGTTAACTGTAGCTAGAGTTTCCTTTCTGTGAATGAACGCTAAAGAAACATTAGAAACCATCTCGTACACGGCTGTTAACTCAAGTGTTTCCCAGAGAGTCGTTTACCTTGTTGATGAAACTGGACTTGCCGACGTTGGGGTAACCGCACAGGAGCAGGGTCCTGGTGTTTGGGTCAATGGACGGCAAACGGGACAGATGCTGACGCACTGTGGAAGAGAGACAACAGGGAGAGGAGTTATATTCTCACATATTAAAAGACAGAACAGACCCATTAATGCCTGCAGTGGAATTATTCAAATTAGGCTTTTTAACACACTTTTTAGCCACATTATTATTATTATTTTCCAGGAAACACCTCTGGAACAAGAGGTTAGGAATTTCAGATTTTTTTCTATACACGCATATTTTGGACTGTTAGAATATAGATTCAAAAAGAAAAATTAAAATCTGTTGCTTTTTCTCACTCAGACATTTTATAATGTATTCTGCAGAGGATGAAACGAGTAACCCCTAGTGACTAACAACTAAATATAGTATGACACAGAAATGGTTGAATCTTAAAAATATACCACTGCATTCAAAGCAACTTTAATATCAATAATAAATGCTGTGGTCCAGTGAAAATCTGATATTCAACACGTCAAATTAATGTTAAATATATTGTAGTGATTTTTGTGCATGAAAAAGAAATGCGTACCAATTAAGGCACGATAAATATGTGAAATTAAACATTCTGTGACAGAGTTGACAGTTTCTGTAACACACTAAATATAGTCGTAGGCTCATGAAAACATCTCAGGAGAGGAAAAGTACCAAAAACTTAACTTTAGAAATAAAATAAAAGCTAAATTTAATAAACACATTTGACCAATTTGAAGTGTTTCTTATCTGTGAAGGTCTCTGTAACAGAGCGTCAGCCACAAGACATCCTCTCCTCTTCGTTACCTTGTTCCAGATACTCCAGACTCGACTTCTGACGCTTCAGGATGGTGCACATACGACCCAGAGCGGCTCTCTTCAGCTGTTTACACCGATACAGAGAGTCTCCATACTTCATCAGACGCACATAGTCTTTGGCAACACTGGGGGGTAAAAGAAAGATTGTTCTTTTAGAAGCAACATCTGAGGTCTTTTCCACTCGAGAATGACTAAAAAACACCAACTCAGAGCTTTTTCCTGTCAGATTTTAACATTAAGGATCATTAGAAAAAGAACTGTGTATGTACCATCAACGGAAACAGAAACTTAATCAACAGAAAAACCAAAAACAAGCTGCAGTAAATGTTAAGCAACAATATGTTGTTTATATTATTTATATTTAATTTCCACTTTAGTAGTTTAGTAGTTTTAGTTTTTTAGTTTTAGTCAAGCTGAATTTTCTGCTCATATTTT